CGGCACAGACACCGACTGCGGCTTGGGTTCGGGTTTGGGCTTGGGCTCGGGATTGGGCTGGGGCTTCGGAACTGGGCTTGGGGCCGCGTTTTAGGGGCTGTGGCAGAGATGCAGCTAGTAGATGCAGCTCGATTAAGCTGCTTACCTCTGCAGGGGCGTTGCATTTTGGGTGTAGCTGCCGCATCAGCGAGGTCGCCACAGCTGACAGCTCAATGGCCCCATGTGGGTTGAGTTTGTTTTGTGTCAGTTTACAGTTGGCTCCATTCATAATTATCAACCTGGTTGGTTGCCTGCCAGGTTGCCTTCCATGCCAGCTTGCCCCACCTTTTCCAGCTGAGAGAGCGAAACGAGGGAAAACCGGAGGAAAAGGCGGACAGCATCGCTGCGCTTTTTCACGCTTTGGCGGCTCATTAAAAGAACCGCAACTGACATTGCCTTTTGTCCCGAAACTTGCAATGACACATTGGCCACGCCTCATTAGCACTGAGAATAAATACTGATCAAGTTCAGAAAATATGTAGGAGTACTTTTGACAAAAGAGAAATTAAATCAAGTAAAACGTTGCTTCAATTTATATCTGAATGTTGGTAATTATTGAAGATGCTTTCATTGTTTGTTAGTTAAACTGGTTTGCTTACTTTTCTAAATCACTCCTATATTTTATTAGCAGTGTAGCAATATCAGTAGGCGTTGGATAGTGTGCCACAAGCAGAAGAGTTTCCAGAGATGCAACCAACCCCTTTGGCTATGAATTATGTTCGCCTCGCACAAGATTGATAGTTATCCACAGGCCTCGCAGGCTTCATGGGCTTCACAGGCGTCATCGTCGTCATCATAATGCTCTTCTTTGGGGGTCGGCGAAATGCCGTTAGCCCCGGTTTTATGATGCTCTATGCATATTCGCCGATGCCGTTGCCGTTGCCGATGTCGATGTCATTCCCGTGACCCAGTTATTATAGTTTAGTTTGGCCCGAAGTGAGCGCGCGGGCGGCCCCTTTAATTAGCATATTCTGGGGCAGGTGTGCGGGTTATGCGAAACGCGATAATTTGTGGATGACTGCCATCTGAATAATGCCCCTTAACTAAGGAATATTCCGGGCGCAGTGCCGTGCATTTTGAGGGGGGTGTTATTAGAGCCGAAGGGGTGCCTGCACAGGGGGGGAATGCAAATTGACCTGCTCATTATGGAATTTCGGCTTAATGGATTTTGGTCATCAATTTGGGCTGTGAGAGCTTTAAAAATGTTTAAAATCAGGGTTAGGTATTGATATTCAGGTTACCTTTTGCTCTTGGATTTAAAATTCCTTTTTATACCAAAATGTTTAGATATGTTTTAGCAAACACTAAGCTTAATTTACTTTTGCTAATCGCTCTTGCCTTTGTGGAAGCCACAATTAATTGTCTGACTGCACCTGCATAACGCAAATACTTTACAAACTAATTGTGAGTCGTGAGCAGATTCAGAATCTCTGAAACACTCTCTTCCGATTACAGAGACGTCCAAAGGAATTCTCAGCCAGAGCCTGAAGACATTTCACTGCATCAACAAGTATGCAGCAATTTGAATTTGGCTTCTCTGCATAACATAAATCCCTTCTGGCATTCACCTCCGGCACGTGTGCGAGTGGGCTTCTATATACGAGTATATATAAATGTATATATGTATCTGTATCTGTGAGTGCCGAGAACCGTTCTAATCCCTTTTGCCATGCATCAACCTCTGCAGTCTGGGCAAAAGAGGTTAAATCCAATTCGGTTCAGCTTTTCGGTGGCCTCTCTTCGAAATCCCCACCTCCGCAAAAACAACAACAATGGCTTGGGGAAGAATAAGCCTCGGGTCAGTTGGAAAAAAATAGAAAAAAAAAAATAGGAGAGGAGAGGAAACCCTAGGTATCCAGTGCAAGCACTTCAATTTCAATGTAATCTCTTTAAACGTGGAAACTACAATCGAAGACCTAAATGAGTTTCGATTTCGGGGAGTGGAAATCCATTTTTGATGCCGCTACGGCTACACTTTATTCGATTTCATTACACCCGCCGTTTTATTACTTTTCATGTATGGACAATCAAACATTGATGTCAGAATTTAATATGCTGTATAAATCGTTTTGAGCCATTGACACATTCATGCGTTCGCTCGCTCGTTCATTCGTTCGCGTTTCGTATTCGTAGAATCAACAAACCAGAGTTGTCTCCATGGAATGTAACTCCCCATCTCCAACGCCACCCGCTTTTCGGTATTTGTATGGAAGAAATATTTATATTTACACGCAACTCATACAGCTCCACCGTCTCTCCACATTTTTTTATATGTACATATTTTTCGTTATTTTTTTCTACTTTTTTATTTTGTGCATAGCATATACAACAACCAAAAACAAAAAAAGCAAGCGGAAAAGGAGAATTTTTCACTCTTATTGCTTTTCGAAGCTTTTCCATGGTTCACATTTCATTTATTTTCACTCCAGTGTGTATGGTTGTGTGTGCACTTCACAACTTAATACACTTTATTATTGAAAATATTTTTTATTACAAGTGGGCTGGGCCTGATCGTCGAGAGGGTTTCCCGGAATTATTCGATGGGGTATATGTATAGTACTCTTACCCATTTCTCCATCGTTTTTTTTTTTTTCTTTTTTTGGTTTTTTTATTTTTTGTTGGCCCTGACACGCAGCTCTCATAGTTCCGTTTGTTGGGCATTGATTTGCTGCACTCGTTTTCCACGAAATACAAATATAAATACAAAACCCAAACACTCTTTTCATGCATACACACAGTACCCACTTGCCTACCGCCCCCATCACTGTTTTTTATACACATTTTATAGCTCCCTCTCTGATTTTGATATTCATGTTGCATGTTGCTGACTTTTGAAGTTTTTTTTGGCAATTGGAACTGGAACTTTTTCTTTTTGAGTGGGCGGGGATCGGCGGCTTTGGCCCCGAAAAAAATAAAATGAAATAAAATAAAAAACAATTTGAATAGCTCTCTTTGCATTGTTTACTTTAATTTACATTTATTTTTAGCTTTTTATGCGTTTCTTTTTTTCGAGGTTTTCGTCGTGGGGGGATGCCGAAATTTTTTTCCGTCTCGTATGCAAATTCAGCTCGAACTTCTTTAATGAACTAATTTTGCGGCAAGAGCCGCGCGATCCCGTCCGATTATTTATGTATTTCTCGCTTACTCTCGCAACGCTGAATTCAATTAGGCCTCCCATCTCCCTTGTTTATTTATGTGGCGTTTGCCGAACGGCTGCCTCATTTGCAAAAGTTGCCAAAGAAAAGATTCGCCACCATTCCAGGCTCACTCACTCGCTCTTTCTGTATGTGTCAGTTTGATAAATGATATCAATTTCTTATAGACCCCCACACCACACCGAAATAACCACACTCAGGCACTTACACACACTCAGGCACACACAAAGGGCATCAAAAGTTTGTTTTAGAATGTTTCTGTTTCTGTTTTTGTTTTTACTGACTGCCGCTGCTTCCCCTTCAAGTCCAAGTCCACTTTTGCCAATTTGACACTTTTAGCGATGCGCGTGTGCCTTGGCACTTGAATTTCAAATGTATCTCAAGGCCTGTCAGATGAGAGCATGAATTTTTAATGCGGAATAAGGGCAATCTCTTAGGGCCCCGCAGCCTTCTGCTTCCCAATATGCTAATCGGGCCAGCGAGTTGAGTCGCATGGAGCGGAAAACTTTTCCCAAGATTTGCCTAAGTAAATTATCCAAAAATGGGCTAAAGAGTAGACGATTCTAGCCATACGAAAGCAACAGGTTTAATATTAAAAAGCCATTTTAAGCATCGTCAAAGATATAAGGAATTTAAATATTAAAACACTACACGTATCATTTGATTTGCACATCACTTTGCAACTTAAAAATAGGCAGATATAAAGAGAGTTTTTTTTCCATACAAATATTAAAATTCTTCTAAACTACCAGTGAGATCTATAAATTATGTCAGACTCTTTTTCCCAAAAAAAAAAAAAAAAAAATCTCTGCAATAATTTAAAATGCCAACGGACATTCATAACGAGCATACAATTAACACAAATTCCCATTGGCAGTCGGCTATTAGCCCAGAAAAACACACATCGCCACGCACACGGGGCACATTAGCGGAGCAGCCGAGTCGCAGATACAAATGTATCTGCGGACCCACCAAGTAGCCAGATACAAGATACAAACGGCGACAGACGGACGACAAAAAGGGCCGCGGGGCGAACGGTTCCCAGGTCCCATGTAAATGACATGGACAAAAAATACGCAAGGGTGGGGTAGCGGACCAGAAAAACTTTCGGCCACTAATCTATAATGCTGTCAGCCATTAAACAACTGAAAAACCAAATTTGTAACTCATTAAAAAAAAAAAAAGAGAGAGAGAGAGAAGGAAAAAACATAAAAAAAAGTGGGAAAAACGAAACTAGCCAAAGTGGAATGACTGATAAATGCCACTCGGCTTGCCTGTCTCATTTGGACTGCCAAATAATATTTAATTATAAACAAATAAACGAGACCCCGGGGTTATACACGTCCCGTAAAAGGTGGCGAGTGATTAATTATTATGTCAGGGAATTAAATCAAATATTTGAGTTGACACAGCGCACAGCGTTTCCCTCTCGAAAACTGAAGTCGTCTTATCTGCCCGTTCGAAATCACGAAATGCAAATAAAAATGACTTTAAGGAAAGCCAAAAAAAAAGAAGAAGAGGGAGAAAAAAATGCCATAATAATTTCTTCTTTTGCTGCGGCGGCATGAAAAATTGAAAAGCCAACAGGCCGCGGCCAAAGATAACATAATCCATGGCCTGAAACCGTGAGCAACCTTTTTCTTTTTATTTTTCGATTTTGTTTTTACTTCAAGGGAGACAGACAGACAAAGGAAAGAAAGAGAGAAAGAAAGAGGTAGATAGCGAGGGAAAACATTAGCATATATCAATGCCAAATGCAAATAAATCATCAATAACATTTCTCTGCCACTTATGCACCACTTACAGATACTTACCCCGAACGGAGATACCTGAACTGCAGCTGCAGCCTGCATTTTCCCGGAGAAGGAAGGAGGAAAAACGCCAACGCGTCTGTCATGTGCGAGTTTTGTGGCCCCTAACTAAGGCGCCTTGCATAAATTTACGCCAGAGGATAAGCCCAACCAAAAAAAAAAAAAAAAGAAAAGCAAAAGGGAAAACCAACGAAGAAGCGAGTGGAAGGTGGAAAGAGAGGACTGGCAAGGCAAACATAAAGCAATTTTATGCGTTTTTAAAATGCGGCAATTGACTGAAACAACAAAAGCGAACTGAGAGACTGAGACTGAGACCGAGACTCTTTGCTGACTGGAAAATTCAGGCAAACCACATGCGAGCACGTTTTCCGCTTTTCCGAAGGGTAAATCAAATACGAGCCAGACCGCATCGAAAGGAGCGGTAGAAAGAAGGACGAAGGACCCCATGCCATATCTCAGTCGCTGCTGATAAGCAATATAACGCAATCGCAAATGCTTGATGGTTTGTTGACGACCAACAAAAAGTTCTTGAGCGTGTGTAAACAGTACCAGTAGTACTGGCAATACTGAGCTGGAAAACTGAAAAACAGAGAGCTGAAGCGGAGAAAAGCAGCAGAAAACAGCAGCAGCAGCAAGGACAACCAAGGAGGAGCAACCAGCGTTTATAAATGCGCTACAGTTACAAATTGTAGCCACAGCTGTGCGTGTGTGTGTTTGGTGTTGCCTCTGCGGCACATGTGCGCTCTAAACCATTTATAAATGTAACAAAAGCAACGCACACGCCAATGCCAGCCGGCAAAAAAAAAAAAGAGAAAACGGAGAAAAACAGTGAAAAGCTGAAAGCCCTTGGCACAAGTGCAATGCATAAATATAAACAAAGAGATACAAACTGAAGACGGCGAAAATACAGCCAAGCACACAAGGTGTTATGTGTTTTTTTTTCTTTTTGTGAGATAAACCAAAACGCGGTCATAAATCGATAATTTAAGACAGTGAATGAGATTTGGGCATCCCCAGAATAGCATCTGTATCTCAACTTTATACATAAAATGAGTATTAAAAGTGTTTTAACTAACTAAACAAAAGTGCCATCTATACAAATAACACCCAAAAGCAAATTAAAACCCCAAACAAAAGTCACTTTATTTTGGGATAAAACGCGGCAATAATTAGATAATTTAAAGCAGTGGATGAGCCATAAAATCGGTCTCCGAATTTTCGCATTTATTTCGCCATAAAAAAAAAAATCTCACAAAAGATGGGTGCCGCCGCCATTCGTGGCCAAGTGCTAAAAGTGCAATTTCAGCAATTGTATTTGCAAGATACATTAGCGTTGCGTGTGTTTTTGTGTGTGCGGCTGCTATAATGACAATTTGACACAGGCAAAGTACATGAAATTGAGCAATTTATATGCCAAATGTGTAATTTGATGTTCGGCCGAGATACATTTTGTATCTGCGGAGCAGATGTCGGTTAAACAGGACTACAGGAACTTTAATTGCGACCAGTTGGTGAAGAGTGTGTGTGTGCGTGTGTGTGTTGCAAGCGAACAACATTGAGATACAAAGCGTATCCATAAGATACTTTTGCAGCAATTTATGCATGTGTGTGTGTGTTTTATATAATATGCAACAATAAACTTGCAAAGAACATTAATTGCAACTGCTACTAGTGGAAGGCAGATGGTTAGTTGTATCAGTGAGCTGAATTTGTAGCTGTCAAATGAATTTCAAGCTGAGAGATGCACTTTTTTTTTTTTTAAATGAGAAGTGAAAGATACAAAGCTTAGCTGGGAATAAAACTGGCTTAAATACAATTAGTATCATCTGCCATAGATCTTTTTTGCCGCCACAATTACAGAATTCTAGTTGAGCCAAAGCCAATTCATTATTAACCCAAATCCCCTTTGTTTCCGCAGAGCATCGTCCAGAATTAGCGCCATCGGAGCCAAGGAGCCAAGAAGCAACCAATGGAACATGTTGATGCCGGTGCGGGAGTACAACAAGCACATAGCCAAAATCCCAAATTGCAAGATGAGGCAGCGGCAGCGGCCAGCGCTTAGAGCCACCTCTGCATCGCTCCTTCTGCTCCTCCTCCACGTCGTCCATTCGCTCGATCCGGCGGCAGGAAGTGGTGCCGCCGGAAGCGGAGGAGGTGGAGCCGCTGCAGCGGGTGGTGCCGGCGGTGGTGGCAGTGGTGCAGGTGGTCCTGCTGCCGCCGGTGGTTCGGGTGGCGGGAGCCTGAGCGGCGGGCCAACCACTCTCATTGCCAATCTCACGGAACAGGGCAGCCCCGGTGTGTATAATTCGACAATGGGTTAATGCTAATTACCCGTGTTTACATATATATTTGGCATTTATGCGGCTGTTTTGGCTGACCTTTTCTACCTTTTCCCATGGACGACAAGGACTCCGCCATTTTGGTATTTGTTTATGCGTGGCTCTCTTCACGAAAAACTAGCAAAAGTCTTGGAATACCAGAAAAGTTAAATAGTTAAGCACACTTAACTTTGTAAAGAATTTAAGGAAGGCATTCAACTGAAACTTTCATCTCTTAAAATTCTTCCCATAATTGCAAAACTATTTTGTTAATAAACCCCACCTTTTTTCTCGAATGCCAGGAATTCACGAAATGCTTGGCATAAACTTGGAGCTTGTGTGTGTGTGTGTGTGCAAATGATTGTATGTATTTCCTTGTGCGCATTTCCGGTTTCCGCTTCCGTTCGCCAAGCGTTCCTGGGAGGGTGGCAAAAACTATTAGCCACTTGGCGCTAAATAACACCCACCCACTCCTCCTCCCGTTGGTGAAGCAAAACACTAAGCATCAATTAACCCAATTTTCAGAATCCATTTTCACCTGCAGTTACGGCTTCAGCTCACAGCTCCGGAGCTTTGGCTTTTTCTGAGTATTTTCCTAGCTGCGTGTTTCACAGCTCCATGCTTACATATATTGTTTGCCCTTTTTTTTATAGAGAGAGTGAGTGAGGGAAAGAGTTTTTCTTTTGCCCTTTCTTTTTGCCAGCAAATACCCAAGTGGCGGTGTTGAAACCAACGTCCAACTCCCGATTCCCCAGTTCCCCATTCCCTAGTTCCCAGTCCCAGCTAATCCTATAGGTATAATGCCGGGCACTCTTGCACCGACTTTTTCGTGCTCCGTGCTGTTTCATCTTTTCTTTCGCAGGCGTTGGCGCTATTGTTGTAGTTTGGTTTGGTTTGGTCACTGGATCTGCAAATGGAAATGGAGTGGAAGCTGAAATCATAATTAATCCATTGATTTTCAATTTTTTCCAGCTTAAATAATTCACACAAATCATTTCAGCAATAAATATGAATTCTTTCGCAGCATTTAACAATACATTTTTCAGCAAACAAAAGTTTTTTTTCAGTCAAGAGTTTTTTTGTTTTTGCTGTGCGAATATCACATTGGGGATCCAATTACAAATTGATAAGCAGGTAATGAACGAAACAAAACAAAATATCGAATAATTTTAATTTGGAAACGCCTCTGTTGCAAACTTTGATTTGCATGTAATATCATAAATAATTAATTTTAACACACACAACATTTATGAATAATTCCAGGGTTTCTTTTTATATCCTAGCTGTCGCTATTAATCAAATTATACTTTTACTACATGCATTTTTAAATTGTTTCTTTATGTCGGTTATGTTTACGCAGCCGCCTGGAAATTTGGTGTGACAGGGTGACATAAACTGCAGAATGCGGGTGGCCGTTTGATTGATTCCCCGGCCAAAAAAAAACACCTGGAACGACGCCAGATGTCGAGGATAATAAATTCGTGAAGATGTGACGACACTTGGGATACAATTTATAACGCTGACGTCTGCTCCAAAACACCAAATGAATTGCTCGACCGATTGGGAAATTAATTATGTATAATGCCATTTCAATTAATGTTTTAAAGTCTTAAAAATAGAATTTAACATATTTAATAACAGAATAGTTGTAAAATATTGTTATTTTAATAAGATAAGCGATAATATTGTATCAAACCTAAAACTAAAATATAACTTATTCCCTCCTTTATTACCATTGTTAATGTTCCCAATCACTTGCTCCGAAGTATAATGCAACTTCTCCTTCCTCAACAACTCTGTTAACTAACCTTAAGATCTGGAAATAAAAAACTAATTTATATAAAATACCATGAAATGTCTTGTGGTGTGTCATCCTTTTGGGTTTCGTTTTCATGTTGGACTGTCGATCAACTAACTCCTCGCTGGCGGGGGGTTCGAGACGCAGGAAGTTGTCTTAACCTGTCCATAAAGATGGCACTCCTCGGCCTACACGATTGCCGTTAAGAACTCGTTTTAATCTGAGACTCTTTACCTACCTTCCTGCGGTGGTATTGCGGTGGTGCAGTGGTGCTGTGGTGCCGTGGCTCTCGTTATTGTCGTTTGCCGTGAGATACGTCTTTTATGCACTTTCTGACTGCATCTTGATAGGCCGGAGACGGGCCGGGCCAAAAAAGATTGACTCTGGCCGAGTGTTGATAAGGCCCCGCTCGAACGGCCGATAAAGTCAATCAATCAGCTGGCAGACAGCCGCGGCTCAAAGCGGACTTAATTATCTGTTTAGATAACCAAGGCCAAAAATAGCCTCCTCGCTTAGTGATGTTATGTTAAATATGCTACAAAAGCGGTAATTTAATATGCCAATTGTGTGGCGAACAATGCCCACAGTTGGGCTTATGGTTATGACCAAATTTGGATGGCTTTTAGAGATGCTCGAACAAGACTTTGAATGGCTTTTATTAATATATTAAACAAGCCATTTGGACAGCTTAACAGTTTGTTTGGAACCACCTGGGAATGTGGGAGATCTTCTGCAAACAACAAGAAACTCATTCATAAAATTCATTTGAATGGAAGTTTTATTCGAGTTTATTGATTCGCTCGTGCGTTAATATGTTTCGATTTTTAAAAATTTGGTCTAGTATAAAGTTTTTTGTGCAAGAACTCACCGAAAATAAACATGCCATAATTCAATTAGGAATTTAAATGCGAAATAAGTGAGGTATAACATTTCAAATTATGTTGCGTAGTTGCGGTTAAAACAATGATTTTCACGAATTCAGAATGAAGTTTGCTACGCAGTTGATATTTACAAATAATACCAAAAGTTGTGTAGTTATTGGATTCAGTATGCAAGTCGGGTCAGATCGGGCGACTATATCGGATAGCTTCTAATGGAGGTATAGAAAAAATAGCGGGAAAAAAAATTATCTCGTCGTTATTTTCGATCATATCGGTCGGGCAAGCCCACATTTTTTGGGCCAAACGCATTTTGAAGTACCAGGCCAACAGAATGCAATGGTAGGTGGTGTTTGGTAGGTGACCAAATTACCTATTTTTTTCAATTTTAATGATGTATCTATCAAAATTTCCAAAAAAAATGGGTTTGTTGAAAATGGACCAAAATTCACTAATTCTAAGTCCACAGCTTTTCTATTGTTCATCCGATTTTGAAGTGGCATACCTCTAAAAGTAATTCTTTTTTATTGATTTTATATTAATAAATGATTTAATTAATTTCATGAAAACCGCACACTATATATATCGGTCATAGGAAGAATCTGTAAAAATACTTACTTCAATGTTTTTTTCGTTTAAGCATTTTGCTCGACAAATGTGATGACTGCAAGGGTATATCAGCTTCGGCTCGCCAAAACTAGCTTCTTTTTTTTTTTTCCCGAAAAATCTCATATTTTCGATGAACAAAAAGTTAAAATAATTAGTATAAAATGAACAACATAATAGCAGTTATTTATGTTAGCCAATTTTAACATCACAGAATCAACATTTTTCGAAATACATCCCAATCCTTGCACATTTTCGTTGAGAGAATTTATCTTAAATTTGATTTTGTTAAATTGCCTCTAAAATTATGTGCCGAACAATTTGCCAATCCAATTCCTGCCGAACTTAGAGCCACCCAAGAGGAAAACTTGTCGATTGCCAGGCCCTGGTCGAGGAGAAATAAAACTTTCACATAATGGCTTCGAAAGTTCCACACCCGACGCAGCATTGAGCTCACCTTTTTGCTTTGGCCTGGCCCAAAACTTGTTCTTTTCGCCTGCCAAACAAATAGTTGGCCATAAGAAGTTGTTCAAATATTTATTTACTTTTTCAAGTTGCGAGCATATTTCTTTTTATTTTTTGCCAAGTGTGCCGAGTGTGTGTGTTCGTCGGTGTATGGGAGTGTGGGTGTGTGTTCTTGCCCGGTTTGGTCCAATGTTTATGTATAATTCCCTGGGCAAAGTTACCGGCAGCTGGTGTGGCTTCAGCCACTTCTTGCACTTCTGCCGCCGGACCGAAACTAATAACAAATCTTTTCATTAGTTGCGTTAGACAAGTTAGTTAAAAAGTGCACTTTAGGCAAACAAATGCGTGTCTGTGTAAAAAGGAGGAGAATTCAGAGCAAAACCAAATTGAATAGAACAGGAGAAAAATCAGCTAAGCCAATAACCACCAGTAGCAACTTGGCCGGAACTTCTTTCGGAAGGGAAACTTTTGTGGGCTGGGCTACTGAGCATAATGAAAGCATAACATTTAGTTAGCACTTGTATTTGCTATATAAACTGAAGCCCCTGCCCTGCATGTACACCGGATAGACAACAACTTTTCATTAATAACTCAAAAATGTTTTGTCTTCAAAAAGTTCACCTCTCGCCGGGTTTTGGGATGAGGCTGAGTGTGCGGGTCCTTTGCTTGGCTCATACAAAAACTTTTATACTGTTGTGCTGGAAACAAATCAAAGGAGTTTCCGACAAAGTTATTTTTTCCCCTTTCTTGTTTTTTTTGTATTATTTTGATGGGTCTGGGTGGAACAGACTGTGACAAACAATGACAACGGCAATGAGCAAGCCCAGCCATGACAATGGCAATTAAAGCTGCAGCTACAGCTTCGGAATCGGTACAAAAGTTGGTCCATAAAAAGCATGGCAACACAACTATGGCAAATGGGTAAAAACTCTGGTAATAAAAGAAAATTATGATGATTTTCTATTTGGCATCTCGCGCTGAACAGAACAGAATCGTTTGGCGCGAAAACAAAGAACCATAAAACCGGGTCGAATTGCGGGAGGGATTTCCACTAAGCACTCGCCAGCATCAAAGGAGAAAGCGGGGAGAACCAAGTGGAAAAGAAATTAAATGACAGGAAAATATAAGTATTAAGCGATAACATTGTTGTTCTATCCCCAGAGAGAGCGTTAAGTGAAATCATTCACAGTCGAAAGGACTGGCGACACGACTAAAATATCCCTTCGATGTGGTGAACAAAATAGGAACTGAAAAGTTGACGAACTTTTAGCTGGTTGAATAACTCTTTGGCCATCAATAAGATGTCAGTTCGAATAAGTTGTAAAAATAAGGATAAAATTGGAATGACTTGACTAATTCTGCAAGCTCATAAAGTAATAAAATTCAAATATCTTCCAAAGTTTAAGTAGTTGCATAAGTAGAAAAGACTTTGATAAAAACTTTTTGTTAATAAATTTAATTTTTAAAAATTAAAAAAAAATAAATTTGCTCTATTTTATCTTCCAACTCTTTGACAAATGGCTGTATGAATGATTTTCCAGTTTCCTGTCAAAGCACCCGCAATTTCAATTTCCAGTCTAGCAAGTGCCTGGTGCTCAAACTCCTTGTCGCTCATTATCTGCTTTGTAATGTCTGTTTATTAACAATAACGTGTATAAAAAAAGAGCGAACTGCCTGGGCCAAGAGAGATGGGCTTAAAAGAAAGGAAAGGCGAAACGGCAAAGGGAAAGCGCAAATAATGTTTAAACAATTTGTTGTCGTTTCGTTTCATTAAATGTCTATTCGCCCTCATTGACCAGCCCCCCTCAAAGCCCCGCAAAACCCCCGCCCACTCCAAAACTAACCGACTACTAGACAGTACTCCGTATCTGGGCCGGGGGCTGTCATTATAATTTGCAAAAAACTCGCTGGGAGAGCGAAAAAAATTAGCAATAAAATGAAAAGCAAAGTGAAATGGCCGCAGGAGCTGAATCTCCGCTAGAGTCGTGGCCACTTGTTGCCAGTGATTTCCTGCGATGCTGCTGCTTCTCTTCTGGGGGGTAGGGGGCAGCTGGAGGTGCGGGGGGCGGTGGCGGTGTTGGTGGCAGGAGGCAGTTGGCGGCGACTGACGCTTCCTGGAGCTTGGCGCTTCCACTTGGCAGTGGCCGTACGCGAAATTATTATTGCTCTGCCTTCCTTTTCGTGGCAAGCTATTTTTGCCCTGGCAGAGGGTATCCACTAATATATATTGGTTATATGTGGGTGTTGGAAGAAGGATTATGAAGTAAGTAATTTTAAGTAGTTAAAAGTCTTTTTATAGTATCTCATAAAAACTACCTATATGCAAACTTAGAAAATTTGGAAGTATTTCCTATTAAAACACTAATTTAAGGTCTTCAAAAAAAATATACATTGTAGAATGTAACTTATCTGATTGATCTTTAAATTTGTTAAAGTAAAGATACATGTATACCAATAGAAAGGAATGACTTTAAAAAGTAAAACCCCTTTCTAATCTAACATTTCCCTTACTAGAGTATAAAGAATTCAGCTACCAGAAGCTAACTTGCTGCACCATAACTTTTTCGATGTTCTTTTTGTTTGGAGCGCTGTAAAAATTATTATTTTTATGCTGCCTGGCTGGCTAGTCAAGTCGAGCAGGGTCTGGGGCCAGTGAAGTGGACGAGGACTCGCTGAGGAACGGAGCGGAGAAGTCGAGTCTGTTGCCGTCTTCATGCCACTTGAATGACTCATTAAAAGTGATTTCATTTTAAAACATTTTCCTCGCTGCGGTCGCCGCCGCCGTTTTCTGCCCCTGATCCTTTTGGCTGCAGATATTCCCGCTCCACTTTCCTCAGTCATTGTCGTTTTCTCCCGGGCTTAGCGCCTTATCAGCTGGCTGAGCCTCCTCTCATTTCCTCCGTCCTCAAGTTGGCCGTCATTTAATTTACTTTCGAGTTTACTTTTTTAATTCGCTTAGCTACTTTGGCTGTGCGTCGCTCTCGTAAATCCTTGAAGAAAAAAAAAAAAAACTCGAGGCAGAAGAAAGGCGAAGAAATAGAAAAGGGACAGTGCGACGAGACTCTTGGCCAACGATAAGCGTCGTGAGTCAGGCCAAGTTA